CCTGAGAGCCTGGTTTAGTAAGGCGGTTAAGATACATAAATTGGTCAAATTGTTCGTTTTGTGAAAGAAGCATGAAACTTGGCASAAATACWTATCTRAATGTACTGAATAATTTGTGATATGGAGGCATCTGAGATATGGCCTATTTCTCAAGTAATGCGCATGTCCAAAATCGGCTATGACTTCTTAAGCATGAAAACGAGGCTGACAAAAAACGAGGTTATTTTAGATCATTTGATGGAGTTTGAAGACAAAACTTGGTTGGGTAGACATCTATATCACACATGGGACTCCATCAGGGTAATATTAAATCGATCACGTGACCTGTCATGTGACTCAAATAGGGCCTAAATTAAAAAAAAGGTTTGGTGTAGATTTAATATTGACTGAAACTATTTTAATAGTTTGAGTCTAACCTATCTGCCTATCTGCTTCAGTCGTGGACATCATAAAGAGGTTGTTAATGGTCATTTGGAGTGGATCACGTAAAAGTCACGTGACTGGAGTAAGACCAGAAATTATACAAATTTGGCTTTAGGGTGACATATATGTCACATTGATTTTTTTTCTATTGTTGTTTTTCTTTTATAGAAGGGAATGTTCTTGTTACTTAAAAGTAGATTACATAATCGATCACATGATTGGCGACAACAGAATGCCACACAGCGCGGTCTTTCATAGCCTGACTCAGCTCTCCAACTTCGATACCTGAGTCCCAGAGATAGCATTTGTGGGTATGTGGTTTWTCGGTTTCGAATCGGGAGACTTCGGTTCCACAGCAGAAGAGTTGAGATGATTTCACTCTCTGCTCTCTGTCATAGTCCAGCAAACCGAAGATGTCGACACATTAGAACATCTGAAATAGCAATGGATATTCTGAACCCGACGAAGAAGGTTCGTATATGTCCCGTACAGTCTTCTTTGAGCTGACAGTGTTAGAGTCCAGGTTTCTGCTCCATAGAGAAGAACTGGTTCAACTAGATACTGGAACAGGAAGACTTTGTAATCATTGGGCAGATTTGAGTGCCAGAGCTTTTGAAGCTTCTTGCAGGCTGCCCAGGCTAGCGATTTCCGA